GCGGAGGGAAAAAGGGGGGGGGGGGGTGTTAGGAGGCCGACAAAAGCCGAGACGCCAGGACGCAATTTCTAGTCGCCATGGAGACCTGGGATTTGTTGAGCCCTGCAGTAGTCCCTTATTTTTCCACTTCCACTACTAGACCATGCTGTCCAGCAGAAGTAGCAGTTACAGCGGCCTTCTGTGCGCCTCCCTGATCTAGTTCCACTCTAGTAATACAAGCTCTCCAACTACAGAGCCAGGCCTGTAAGAGGGGCTTAGATCTGACGTCGGACAGTCTTTAGTAAGGGAAACTGATCAGTGGGGTGGACAGTAAATACTCTTGTGGCCAAAAGAGGTGATTGAATGCACAGAGTTGCCTGCTTAGTGAAGCCAAAAGCTTAAACCTCTATATTCTTCAGTCATTTGATTTTGGTTATTCACATAAGTATATGCTTTATTCAGATAGCATGGGGATGACTTTGCTCTTTGTGAAGGACATATTTAGTACAATGAGGATGATAATTAGCTCACTTTTATGAATGAGCAGGAGTATAATTTACTATGACCTAACTATAGAAACAACAACAAAAGCAAACCACAAAATATACCAAACTGAATCCACAATCCAGCGCTGAAAATCTTCTGTACTCCAAGTGAAAGCAAAAGCAGTATCAATGTGTAAAGGCACCGGAGGCCCAATCACTAGTTATATGTTGTGCCAGCATCAAAACTGTTATTTTGACTTTAAAAAGGACAACTGTGGCTTTATTTTGTCTTTAGTCCCTGCCCTAGTGCTGTCTACCATGTCTTATGCTTATTTTTGGTCCTGATGCATCAATCTTCACTGTACAATCGGAACTGGACTGAGAAAAATACAAACCATCTGGCAGGCCCCTGATATGTATTTTATGTGATTAAGTAATGCGAAGCCAAAATTGACACAAAAAAAAAAATCATACATCATACAGTACATCTCTAGATTACATGCACATTTCCCCATGTTTTATCCTCTTAAAGACCCCACAATACAGAACAACACCTCTTGATCTGCCAGAAATGCACTCTGCTCTTAAAGTGTATTTCTACTTTTGCAGCCAAATTGGGATAACACCTATTTTAGATTTGTTACATGTTCCCATTCACATTGCATAAGCGAAAAAAAAAATATTTAAAACATGCTTCTCTGCAGTTTAAATTGTTTTTACTTGGGTTAGGGTTTCCTAAGGGTTAAAATTTCTTCTTGCTTCCCCTTTTTTTTGTAATGTTAGGAGAGGTTGTGTGGGGTGAGGGGCTTCTCTATTATATGTTAATAAGGTCAACGAGAGAAAACACAATCCTCAAATTGTAGTCCTATGTCTTTCTATAAGGACAGATCACTGTAAAGGTGCTGAGGAAAAACCTGGAATCAGCCATGTTGCCTTCTGCAACAAAAAAATAAAAAAAAAAAAGGTAAGAAATATAAATTTTATCAGAGGTTTTCTCGTATTTAACTGCAAAAGTGGAACTACACTTAAAGACCTGTTGCAGGCTGACAACATTTTTTGGGACTGAGTGTTGTCAGCCCTTACCAGTGTTTTCTGCTAAGCCACTACCACTCGCAGATCTCTACAACATAGGGCTAATCATTTTGTAGCTCATGATTAGAACTAAAATGATTAGAACCTCTGAGATAATACAGGAAGTATGCAGAGGACACAGGACAGTTCTAAATTTATAAAAAGATAACAAGGTTTGTTTTGTCGACTTATCAAACTGAACAAAATGCTTTCAACTGATTTAATATTAAATATGCCAATAGGAAACAAGTGAGAATGTTCATTGTTAGGGTTTACATGCATGTTAAAAGGGAAATGCCACCTTTTCGAAAAAAAATAACTGCATGCTTCTTTATAAAAGAAGAAATGTGCTATTGTTTATTTGGGGGTTGTTCAGATACCAGTTCTGATATCAGTGCCGATACTTGGCATTTTCACTGCCAGGGCTGTAGCTGGGACCGGGCTCTGGCACTCTACCATTGTCCTGAAATCATTAGTCTGTATTGTTTTAGAAAAACTGTCACATGACAATAAACAAAAATTTATCAGTACTTGTATCTGTGAGTACTTGGACAAGTATCAGTACTTGTAAAAATAGTATCGGTGCATCCCTTTTTTTTATTAAAAAAAAAAAAAAAAATCACACATTAAAACAGAGATGAACAAATCCCAGGAGCTCTGTATGCTCCTTAAAAATGACAGCTGCCTCCTAACTTTTGAATTTTTCTCTAGTCTAGTCTTGGAGCTGGAAAAGTATCTGTACTTGTACCGAGTACGGTACTTGGTATCTGAACCTAGTTTTTTTTTATTGCATTGGAGCCAGTCAAGGATTGCAACCATGATCAGTGGATATGGGTGCAACGCTCTGGATCCTGCTGACTCTTCTTACTGTCCATGTCGGAGATATGAACATTCATTAACATTGAAGGGAAGAATGGATGGACTACAAGTGTGGTGATATCGCTGCATATTCCATTGGGAACTATACCTCCCTCTACTGCAGTGGCTGATGGAACTTGTAGTTCCTATAGTTACAGATCATGGAGGACGTGGCTGTGTGAGCAGAGCCAAGCACAACAGCCACGTGGAATTTACAAATGCACGCAAGCCTATGGAGAGAAGAACCCTGCAATTCAGGTAAGTGGGGGAGAAGGGTTGCAATCTGACCATGTTTCATCCTAAATAAAAGGTGCCCATACACCTGCCAAGTATCGTACGATAATCGGCAGGTGTATGGAAGGCGTGCAACCGTTTCTACTGTACGGTCTCACGTCTTTTGTCTCCTGTGCAGACTTGAAAAAAAGACAAATGCCGAACGGGCCGTTGTGCGCAAGCGCACACTGCCCGTGCGGCATTGGAGTCATCGCAAGTACGATCTGCCTGTCCAAGATGGGCAGATCGTACGTTTTTTAAATTACCTTACAACCATCGCAAGACAGAAGTCTTGCGATGGTTGTAAGGTGTATGGCCAGCTTAAAGGTTTAACATGAAACATGGTCAGAAATTAAAAAACTTAGCCTTTAAATGCCAGATTACCTGATAATCGGTTACACCATCCCACGTTTCCACAAGGAGCTGCCGACCACCAAACCATCTTCCATTCAATGCCAGTATGCAGGCATCACCTTCGTCTGCTACTTTAAATGAGACTGATGCTACTCCATCAGGATGCCTCTAATAAACATATAAAAAAGAAACCATTTTGCAATTATAGAAGCAACTGGCCTTGTACACCAAAGTTAAACTAAATATAGAGACCTTTGTGAAAGCTAGTCTAAAAGGAAAAGTGAAACATTTGCAAAAGGTCAAAGTGTCTACACGCTATCAGCTGCATTATCTAGGTTTCTGGTAATAGATAAAAGAAGGGTTAGCACAAAGAGTCTAGCGAGCCAAAAGAGCAGACTAGTGACCCCTGCCTGGTTTATAATTAAGGCATTACTGTCCACCCTTGTTATGAATTCCCAGACAAGATCTTTGTAACAGCCCGGCAGCAGATCGGATCAGAGGGGGAAAATGCATATAGATTTTAGATGGTTTGTTTTCTATACATTTTACCAAGTGTTTCAGAAATGTTTTGAACCAAACTTGACAAGCGACCTTGGAAACACATGGAGGTCACAGACTACGAATGTAAGGCTTTGCTTTTATTTTTTTGATTGGTTGCCATGGGCTCCAGATTATGTCTGCTCTAGTTTTGATAAATTCCCCTGTGTGTGTTTCAGAGCCAATAATTTAGAATGGCACCTTAGGGTAAACGCATAGCTGGGTAAATTATTATTATACAGGATTTATATAGCGCCAGCTGTTTGCGCAGCGCTTTACAATATAAGGAAGACATTACAATCACAATACAATTCAAGACAAGATGGTAAGGAGGGCCCTGCCCCTGGGGGCTTACAATCTAAAAGGGAGGGAGAGGTGATACATGAGGAGGTAGCTGCGTGGGGATGAATTGTTTGAGAACATGATGGTTCACTGGTTAGGTTGAGGTGAGATAGGCTTCCCTGAAGAGATGAGTCTTAAGGGATCACCTAAAGGCAGTCAAGGTGGCAGATAGACTGACAGGTTGGGGTAAAGAGTTCCAGAAGATGGGAGAGACTCTAGAGAAGGCCTGGAGGCGAGTGTGGGAGGAGTTGACAAGGGAGCTGGAAAGCAGGAGGTTTTGGGATTAGCGGAGTGGACAGTTAGGGTGATATTTTGAGACAGGGTTTGAGATATATCCGTGTGCCATTCACACAGCATTCCGGCAACTAGATGGAGCCAAAGAGCATAGGAATTTCTTATGCTCAGCTCCATCTGATGGTGGGAATGCCATGCAAACCAGCCGCATACTCAATCTTCGTGCGTTAATCGCAAGTACCGCAAATACCGCGTGTTGCGGTGCAATTGGAAAAACAGTGCACACACTGTTTTTTTCATTCGCACTGCAATGCACGGTATTCGCGGTACCACATGTTGCATCACAGCCAATCGCACTCTGGGCAGGAGGTGCATTTGTGGTGCCAAATGAATGGCACACAACCCACCTCCCACACTGTAATCGTACGGAAAATGCATTTTGCTGTACCATGCGATTAACGCACAGAGATGATGTGAACGGGCCCTAAAGCCCGTTTCTTTTGTCTTGCAGTGGGGGAGGGTTCAAACCAAAATCGTTTTGGCTAGAGTCGGGCTTAGAATCTCTCTTAAATCATGTGTACAAAATTCTTACATCAAATATAAGGACTTTTTTCACTTGTCCAAACTTTTCACATTCTGATCGAAGATCTTCTCGAATTTCATTCAGAACCAGAGGGTCCTCCTGCATAAGCAAAAGTAAAAATGAATGAATTAAAATAATAATTACTCTGAAAATCCAAAAAACATTTTTTCCTGCATTTGACAACTACCAATTAGCAAAAAGCTTTAGAAAAAATTCCCACATAACAGTGATATGTAATAAACCTTTTCTTGGATATGTAAACAGCATCAGATTGATGTAAATAATCAATGTTAATGTTCAAAATTATATCATTTTTAAAGTTCACTTGTGTCCAAACTATGGACACTAAAATTAAAACAAGCCCTCACTGACTTCTGTAGCAACAGGCACTGTGGTGTAATTCATTCTCAAAATATCCCGGCAGAGGCACTAAAACTTCAACAAGTCATTGCAGCAAGGACGTGACAGCCTAAAAGTCTTCTAATGTAAACAGCAGGTGCTGGAAGCTGATAGAAATCAGGAGTTCCAGTGCGTTTGGCCTCTGGAATGCAACCCGTCCGTCTCCCTTTATTTTGGGGCGGGCGGGGGCGTGGCGGTGCATTGAACTCAATGGCACCACAGCCACACCCCTACCCGTGGTACTATCGCCAGCACCCGAACGCGTGGCACATTAGTGCCTGCGTTCCGTTCCAGTGCCATCTGCAAAAAATGCTTCAAACACTATTTTTTGCACATTGCAGTGGACCGGAATGCAGGCACTAACGTGCCACGCGTTCGCGTGCCTGCGATCGCACCACAGGCGGGGGGCATAGCTGCAGTGCCATTTAATTCAATACCATATGAATTTGTCTATCCCTGGAATAAATGGATAGATGTGAATGGAGCCTAATCATTCTTGCAACGCGGGGGGCTTTTACCAAACACACTCCCAATCATCTGAAGCTATGAAAAACATAATAAAATGAGTGACAGCAGTAAGCATAATAATTAGAAAGAATTGCTCAAAAGGGAGAAACTCTCAAATATTTTCAAAGTTACTGTGTCTACCTGATCATCTAAGAGAGCAAACAGTAGCAGCAGGTTGAGCAGTGGAGGTTAAACCAGTCACCCAACCCACATTCCACAGAGTCGTAAAAATATACAACAATCTGGTCTGACTGGTACCTGCATACCCAGAAGTTCTGTTTATTTGTCATCAAGGCATTCCTCTTTAATACAAGACAAGCGGTCCCCCACTTAATGCAACTATCCCTATGAAAACGGGCATACATAGCAATGATATTACAGCATTACCATAAAGCCAGCACACTGCTGCCTGCCAGAAAGTACCTGCTATAGCGGCATAGTTTCATAATAAAAGACACACCTCAGAACAGCATCTGGTCTTTCCCTAAAGTAACATTACAGTGATTGTTTTCAGATCATCTCCCAGAAAGATGATTTACATTACTACAAACTCGCATAGAATCTATTCAACATACTGCACAAATAAACAGAGACAATAAGGATGATATATTAGTTACATAAACACACGAACAACAAAAATCAATAAATAGAACGTAATCTGCGATGAGGCATGGTCATTTGTGATGAGGCATGGTCATACTGCCCCCCGCACAAAATAATATACTCTAATCACACCCAGATAACCAGGGATCGATCCTGCTCACATACATTCTTTCCTTCGGACGGAGCTCAGAACTGTCAGAGCTCTGGCCGAAGGAAGCCGGAGCTGACAGGAGCTGCTCTGCGGTCTGCATCCGACACAGATGCAGACAGTGGAGCTGCTCCCGCAAGTCAGGTACGCGGTCTGCGACCGTGTGCCTGACATGTCAGCTGGCTGCAGGCCACATAGCCCTCACTTTATTTTTACTCGCCAAATGCCAAATTTTGAGCCCTGTGATCAGGTATTGTCATACGTGATAAGGCATTGTCATACGTGACAAGGCATTGTCATACGTGACAAGGCATTGTCATACGTGACAAGGCATTGTCATACGTGACAAGGCATTGTCATACGTGACAAGGCATTGTCATACGTGACAAGGCATTGTCATATATGTGATAAGTGATAAGGCATTGTCATATACACCGAGTGGCCAGATTATTATGACCACCTGACGTTTGTAGGCAAATTAGCTATAATTATCTATAATTTCGCGCTGTAGTTGCTAGAGGGCCAGACCATTATAAATAGGAAAGCAGGTTGTTTACCACGACAGTAGAAGTGATTTTGTTCTGAAGATACGGGTAAACAACGCGATTTAACAGCCCCTGAACGTGGGATGATTGTTGGCGCTCAAGCCATGGAGCGAGTATCAGCAAAACAGCAGAATTCGTTAAATGTTCAAGAGGGGCTCATTGTTAAAATGTTTACAGACTGGACTGTCAGCCGAAAATCTGGGTCTGAACATGCGAATTGTGGCCGTCAGCGACTAGTCAATGTTAGGGCAGAACCGAGAGTGGCAAGACTGGTACAAGACAACAGAAGGGCAACAGTGCAGTGTCAGATTCCTCGCATCACCTTTCAACATCTCGTGGAGTCACGAGGCGGCCCAACGAAGTCATCTAGTGGAGTCATCTCGTGGCCCAACGAAGTACTGATGGGGTGGTCATAATAATCTGGCCACTCAGTGCATGTGATAAGTGACAAGGCATGGTCATATGTGACAAGGCATGCATTGCACAAAAAATGAACAACAACTAAAAAGCAAACCATCTACTTCAAACACCGAATACATATCTTAAACCTAGTGACAAGGAAGTTACCCACTGATAATATGATCAAAGGCTTCCATTACTCTAACTAGGGTTGCACCGTCACACTTTATTCCGTTTGACAAAAGAAAATACCTCTATAGGTTGAACTCAAAGGACTTGTGTCTTTTTTTCAACCTGACTATGTACAAAATATTCTATATATTATTTCACAACAAACGTCTTCTAATCGGCAATAAGTTATTTTCCACAATAACACCTTCACATTTATGTGTGTTTTTTCTGGCACTTATATTGAGCATGCCCATTCACTTTAAAAGGACCTCAACTCACCAGTGCAAGGCAACATGTATTCATGCACTGCAGTGTGATGAGGGGAAGGAGCATTTGTTGGGTCCGTGGTGCCATAGAAAATGAATGGTAACACATAAATAAGCGTGAATGGGTTGCTAGAGAAGAAACATCAGTTTTTCTCAGTATCGAGTAATAAGGTTGTATTCAGGCCTCCTTCACACCTTCAGCACTGTGTCTGCTGTGAACGATGCCTTAAAGGAGAACTATGACTTAAGGGCAAATAAAAATACCCCTTACCTTGATTGTAGTAGCATCGTTCCTTTTTTCTAAAGTCGCAGCACATCACAGATAAAACCCTCAAAACCTGTAATAAATGGCCGTCTTCAACCCTGCTCCAAGCTCCTTTCCTCTTAGGGGGCGTTAACATTTGATCCAGCCCGCCCACGGCTTTTTTTTCAAATGATCTCATTGCTGTGGCCGCGCTTCCTCTCATCGTGCACAGCTGTGTTTTGTCAGCTCGTGCACGCTGGCATTTGTGAGGAGGAGGCGGAGTCTGAAGTGAGAAGGCAGCAGCAAGAGACGGACTCAGCCTCCCTGCACATTCAGTGCTCTTTCCCCTCTCTCATCAGCGATCCCCACTAATTAGGATGTCAGTATAACACAGGGGGAGAGAGAGAGAGAGGATAAAGAGCCATCCCTCTCTCCATCATTTACCAGAAATGGGCAAGTCAATATATGGTGAATGATGCCACTGGGTATCCCTGCAGACTGGCAAGCATCCGATCAGCAGGGATCCCCAGTGACATCATTCATCATATATGGACTTGCCCATATGTGGTAAATGATGAAGATAGAGAGAGAGAGAGAGAGAGAGAGAGAGAGAGAGAGACAGCTGTCAGTCACAGTCACTGTCAGTCACAGTGAGGAAGATCAGTGGGGAGGATCCTGTCAGATACGTCGGGATGCCACCTCATTGCGGCGCTTAGCCCCGCCCACCACCTTAAATAAGGGTTTACAGCCTTACTGTGCATTTTGGCTAATTAGAGTAAATTACATAATTTACTTATTTAGCCTAAGGAATGCATTAAGAAAAGATAGAACCCCATAGTTCTCCTTTAAACATGCACGATCACCTTGCCTATGCAGCAAAAGTAACAATGTATCTGCAAAAGGCTGACTCGCCCAGTCATGGGCCTAGTGATGGACTCGTAGATCCAAGCATTGTCACATGGGGGAATGCACATGCTTCTCCATGCCCGGGCTCCTCCATAACTGGAAAGTGTTGGGTATCGTAGCTGGCTGCAGGGGATAAAGGAGTGGCGGGGAAGCATTAGTAAGGTCAGTATATGGGGTTGGGAAGGGCCCTTTGCCGGGGCACAGTTTACTGAAACTGCTCTTTGCCTTTTTTGACATCTGCTATAGTCAGATGAAACACTTTACCCGTCCATAGAAGTCATCTGGCGGCAGCTGAGCCACCAGAATCACTTCTATTGTGAGGCTGGCAGCCGACTTTACAAAAGGTAAACAAAGTATGTCTGTTTAAAGGGCCGTCCTGCCAATGACGTACTGGGTACGTCTGTGGCCACAAAAGGGTTAACCTAAGGAGAATCTGTGCAGACAAAGTGTCAGAGATTTGGGAATACAGCTTTACACTTTACAGGCACCAGAATTTACATGGCTGTGGCATGTTAGCCAGCATCTCAGTTCAACACTTCACGTTCACACCATTTGTGTTCAAACCTGAGCAATATACTAATGCTGAATGACACGTCAGAAATCTATTCAAGCACACTTGAATAATTACTGAAAGATCTAATTTAAAGTGACTCTGTTGCTTCCCTTGAAAAATGCAAACAATAGCTCCCCACAACAGAAAAACTATAAATACTTACCTCTCTGGCAGATGACAAGTCTGAACTCCTGTCTCTCAGTGCAACAGCCTCCAGCAAAATCTCTTAACATTTGATACAAACAAAAGTGTTGAATTCCTGCATCCCACACAGCGTGCTATGGTTCTTCCTGCCGACCCCTGTGTCACTGCTGAGTCCTGTATTGAAGTATGGGTTAGAGCAGCGGTTCTCAATGTGGGGGTCGCGACCCCGTGGGGGGTCGAATGACTATCTGCCGGGGGTCGCCTCGCGGCCCCGGTGAAGGTCTGCTCCGCGTTTTTTGGGGGTTTTTTTCTGACATCGGAGCATCGTAACTCAGAGGAAAAAAAAAAACTCTCCCCGGGCAGGTTCTCTATGTTTTAAACACCCGGTAACGGGTGTGTGCAACCGTCGGGTCTTTTCTGCCCGTGCGTGCCCGCTAGGGGGTGCGCGCGAGCAGAAAAAAATTGCCGTCTGGAGACGGCAACCCGCAAATGCAGCAGTGCCGTCCGTCCGTTTTTTTACTACGGGCGGAAAGCAAGAGGTTAAGCAGTGGCTCTCAAACTGTGGGTTGCTGTGTGTCCGCCTCAGCCCTCTCCTAGTGCAGCAGTGTCAGTTCTCCTGCCACGCCGCCTGATGTCGCTGCAGCAGCCACGTCATCCCTAAATTTTACCATTGGAGGTCACCACAACTTGGCAAATGTTACCAAGGGGTCCCGGCACTAGAAAGGTTGAGAACCACTGGGTTAGAGGAAGGGGCTGCAGTGCGTGGCAGGGAACACAAAGTGTTAAATGCTGAAGACTTTACCGGAGGTTGCAGCACTGAAGACAGGGGACCTTGGACTCGCCAACCACCAGCAAGGTAAGTTTGAACAGTCTTTTATAGCAGGGAGCGATCCTTTACATTTTTCAGAGGAAGCCACAGAATTGTTCTAACCAATCTGACTACAGCAACATGAAATCACTGCACTTTTTATATCAGCATGTTATGTGTGCTCCTCCATTGAATAAGGTTACTCCTGTGCCCAGCAAAACGACATGACATGGTAAACACTCATAAGATGCCCATCATAAATGCCTGTTCACCGATAGGCCACAACTGGCCAAGTCTAACTGAAAAACAGAAATGTAGGCGGTCATTGAAAAGTACAATCAAAATACATTTTCATGCTCTGTATCTTTAATTTTTTTTTCTATTTTTACTAATAGCTCTCACTTGGCAGCAAACGTTTAACATTTCAGACTCATAAATTTGACTTGATCGTTTAGTAACATCATTTTGTGAGACTGTGCTAAGCTTTGTTTCCAAATACTCAGCTAAAGCAGCAGCGACCTCTACTGGCCCATACTGTGTAAGACACTTGTTGGTATGCTACACACCACATGCATTGTATTTTACAATATATAGGGCCCTTGACAAAAGGATTCCGGCCTTCACATTTTAGAAATATGACATTCATGCTTTAAAGCCTTGGTTCTCAACGGGTGGGTCATGACCCAAAAGGTGGGTCGCGACCCCATGTTCAGTGGGTCACTGCGTGCCTTCCACTTTTCCAGGTAAGAGGCTCCTCAGCGCAACACAGTCAGTTCTCACAGCAAGCATCATTCAAAACATGCGGTTCGGCGCCGAGTGTCAGTTTGAGGTGGGGTGGGCTGGTGTTATGGCCATGATGGAGCTCCAGCCATAGGTGCATTGCTTACAGCTCCCTCTTGTGCCCTGTAGAGATGCCTGGACCGGAGTGACATCACATTCTGGCTCCCGGCACCTCTACAGGGCACACGAGGGAGCTGTACAAGCAATGCACATATGGATGGAGCTCTCGTCACAGCACAGCAGCCTACACCTGACCCCAGGCTGAGGATCCACTCCAGCTCTCGTAAATTAGGGAGACTAAGTGCATCTTAAAAATATAAATACATTTTTTGGACTGTGTGTGTGAGAATTTATGTATGGGTGTGTGTGCGCGTTTGTGAGATTGTGTCTGTCAGTGGTTGTGTGGGCCCGTTCACACTAGTGCAGTGTTCCATTGCAGTGCGACTTGGGTTACGACTTATTGACCAAGGACAAATGTTGGTCCTGAGGCTACACAGGTTGAGAACCACTGCTTTAAAGGGTTAAACACCACCTATTTCATATCACTGATATGCTCCAGGTATGACATTTTCACATTTGGTTACCCAGTTACACCCTTCTGCAGGAGGACATTACAATAAGTGTCATTCTTTCTATTATATCACAAAGAACATACACCTTGCTATGAAGTGGCCTGAAATCCTATGAGATGTATAAAGCCAGTGTAAGTAATTCAGCCCACTGACATCTACACATAACATCGGTTTGCAGGGGACTAACCCTTTAAAACCACATGCAGCAAGGCATTCTGGAGGCCCAAGCTCACAGTCTACAGTCATACAAATGTAGACAACACAGAAATGTGACAAATGATTTGTTTCTTACCTCAAAGTCTTTAGGATGAAACATATTCCTAATAATTATAACCCTTTCATGACGTTTTCTGTTCTCATTGGCTTTCTTTTCTGGCCTCCAATCTAGTTGTCTATTTGGGACAGAAACACAAAAAAAGTCACACACTCAACAAACGCTAAATACGCAAGTCACAGGCAAGTCAAATTTCAGTGTTTCTTTACTGCCCCCAGTGGCCAAAACTGGGAACTCTCAGAGGGAATAACCATTCCAGGTTCAGAGGGAGTGGGGTACTGTGTCCTAGCCGCACGGTCAAACAGCAGGATAGACTACTATGATCTGGTATGCCAATACAAATTATGATATAAAACCACAAAGCCGGAAATATTAGAGAACAAAATATACAGTAGTACAGTCTGTGGTGGGGTCAAGTACACAGTAGTAACCAACAGCAACCAACGAGCAGCAGCATTTTACAGGTTTGACCATTGTACACTGATGAAATAGGAAATCGGATTTCATGCCCTTTGTTAATGAGCTATTAACGCACTAAGGGGTTGGTTTCCTAAAGCCAAATAGGCTGCACGCTTTGAAAGAACTTTTCCCTTAGCTTAGTGATTGAGGTAAAGCTCTGCTGACTTCCATTGTCCAATCATGTGCAAGCAGAAACACTGGGGTTTTTTTTTAAAGAACTCTGGGGAAAAATGTTATTAACCCTTGCAGTGGGGCTACCCCCTGCACTGCAAGGGTTAACTACTAGTTTTTGTCTAGGTGCTAAAAAAAAAAAAAAAGAAGAAGGTTATACTCCCTGCTTCTCCAGTCACTAAAAAGTGTCTCCTCCTCCACTGCACATTTGGAATGTTCTTCAGCATCCTCATGTCTATACACTTGTATAGAATGTGATGACACAAGGATCCTTAGACCAGTACAGCGGAGGAGAGAGAGGCTCAAAGGACCAATCCAAGAACAAGCCGGTTCAAATGATCAGGTTAGTATAACTTTTTTTTTTTCCTTAGCAAGGTTAACCCTTGCAGTGCAGAGGTAGCCCCAGTGCAAGGATTAATAATTGTTTTCCCCGGAGTTCTTTCTGTAAAATTGTAGTCCATCACAAGAGTGAGCTTGGAGTGGTGGCTACTTTACAACACACACAGGGACCATGGGGAATAAAAGTAGCCACCCTCCAGAAGGAAGGACGGTGTCAGCACCAATTCAGAGATGATTTGGGGATCTACAGCCGAGTGATACACAAATAAGATACATTTTTGTCCATAGTTAGGGTACTTGAAAGCATTTTTAAGATCTAACTCCCGAGATTAGTGTCACTTTAAGCCAGTGATTATTTACAAGGGGGCCAGGAACAGAGACTAACATATTTCCCTAAGGTTCCCCGTCAGCATTCAGTTATACTTTGTACTATATTCTGGGGTCCCCTGCAGAGCTCTATTGTGTATAAAGTGCATAAGCTACAAGTGTTGTTTTAAGTACTAGAAAGTTGTATTCTACATACAAAGGATTCTACATACTTTTGCTGCAGTGACAGTTTCTTCTTGTAGTCCTTAGATTTCTTCTTCTTTTTTGATGCATCATATTCCCCTTTGAGCTGGAACTTTGCACTTTCAACATGAAGTCTGTATCCTCTGATTTCATAATCATCAAGAATTCTTAGAGCCAGCTCAACAGATTCTCTCTAAAATGAAAAACACCGCAAGTGCTTTAAGCCATGTCACAACAAGGACCAGTCCACATACTGATTCACATTGCTAAAATTCAGTTATAGAAGTAGTTCCTTCCGTTTTCCTATGGTCTACGCTTCAAGCAAAATTTAACGTAACTGGGTGGCCACCCGTCGACTACCTTTGCACCCATTTTATCCTAATGGATGAGCGGTTAGGAGTGCAATGGGTACATGGACTTTAACGTAACTGGGGCCCCAGAGCTCTTCCCACTATCAGCAAGTATACACAGCAGAAGTGTGGGTACTGCATTTCCCCTTGTCACTCCGCCACCGCTGCAGCCATCTTCTCTATTTCCAGGTTCAGAGTCTTATCTCCAACCTCTGGTCAGCCACACCTAACTTCTGCGCACAGGAAATAATCTTACTCCTTTGTCATTCGTGGGCTGATTTACTAAAAGGAGATTTTGAATCCCCAAACATGCAATAAAGTCAACAGGAATTTGCTTTTCACAGGTTTGAATTGTGTAAAGATTCTCAACTCCTTTAGGTAAATCAGCCGCAGTCACTTCTGCCAAGGAAACCTACCTGTCAGCAACCTTTATATAGTTAAGTTTAGTTCTTACATAGGTGAGTGTTGGTATAACAAGGTGATCAATAACCTGCAACATCTACCAAAATCAGAACTATCAGTTTTCGCTGGACTGACCATGTGAAGTGCACTTGTTTGTAGAAATAAAACAGAAGTGCTCTAGTAGAGGCATGCAGTATAAAATGAAAATCATCTTCCCAATGTGTTTGCTCCATAAGTACCGTATTTTTTGCTCCATAAGACGCACTTTTTTCCCCCCAAAAGGAGGGGGGAAATGTGCCTGCGTCTTATGGAGCGAATCCCGACGCCCGAGACATGCAGTTTCGGGCACCGGGCGAGTAGTAGGAGCCACTGCTCGTTTAATACGAGTGATCTAATGAGATCACTCGTATTAAAACCGAGCAGCGGTGACGATCGAGATCACCATAGAGCAGACAAAGAACGGAGGTTCTTTGTCTGCTCTGTGTGATCACTGAGACCGTGGCGCTGTAATCACAGCGCCACCTGTCTCAGCGGTCACTAACTGCAGCTTCTGTCACAGCTTCTGTCATAGAAGCTGTGACAGAAGCTACGGTCTGTATGGGGCTCCATAAGGTGCACCGGACCTCCCTGCGTCCACAGCTATGGTCCGGTGCGTCTTATGGACCGCAAAATACGGTAGCTTGGTCTGGGGAAATTTTGGTGCAAACAGCATGAGAGTGTGGGTGCATATACAGTGGTAAACAGAAAATTTCTACTATGGAAAGAGATTTTAACCTCTATATATGGGAGCGTTCTTATACCAATCGAAAACTCACCTTAAGATAGCAACACAAGCCATCACCTTTCAGGTTCCCATCCTTGTCTTTGTACAGTTTTATTTTAAAATCATCTGTGTGCAGATCTCGCATTATGATGCCGCACTTTGACATGATTTCAATAAATTCATCATATGTCATATCCAGAGGAATCCCTGGCAACAGAACATAAAAAGGAATGATATGTTAACGCTTGAAAGACTTGTGACAAATGGCAGACTGATTTAACAACGGTTATACGCACTAACCTGTAACATAGACGTTTGTGTTTCTCCCATCTTCCACATTGAACCAGCCTGTTATAAAATAAAGATACTTAACTGTACAGCACAAAAGGATTCTCAATGACATTTTTTAAATATTTGATTTAGCTTTTTGTAACCATAAAGCATATGCATCTGTCCAGGAACAAGCATGTGCATAGACACAGAAGATTAATGCCTCACAAGGATGACTCCCCACCCTGGAGCATGAACAATGGCAGCTCCTCTATTTCTATACTGACGGTTTTCTTTAGAACTCCAGTATAAACCTATACTGACCTGCATATCAGTCAAAGCCATTATGAGAGGTCAGAAGCTCCCTACTGCTGCGGGATATTTCATTTGATATGAAAAAAAAGGAGACGACAAGGGCACATCCAATAGAGTGCGTTAGGGGGATAGTAAACAAAAAATACAAAAAGGGTAGAAACATACCCTGAAACTTTAGCAGGGAGATCGTACTTCTGTAGTCTAAGGGCATTTGCAGTGCATGGTAAAACACGTGCATTTCCACAATGTGTGTTACTACTTGCTTTGGTACTCGTTAAACACTGTGACGCAGCACAACACACGTCCTGTGAGATGCACTCTACTGCAAACAAATGCAGCCCACACCATTTCTTTGCTCACTGAGGTGCGTCCATTTTGAATAAGCTGCCTAACAGAGTACCACAACACATGAAAATGCACATGTTGCAGAGCACTGCGCTGTGATGTGAAAGGCCCTAATAGGTATACATATCCAGCTGGTGACTCAGCCCACTAAACTATACCAAAAACTTTGTCATCAGTTTTGACACAGCATAAAAATTACGAGTACTCTTAAATTACCATTACCGGGTTACCTGGAAGCGGGTACTACTTTTCTACTTTGGGCTGAAAAGTACTTGTACCATAGAGAAAAAAAACATTTCCAGCAGGAGTACAAACAGAAAGCAGGCTTGGGTTGCTAACTGCATTATGTGTTGTGGTTAGTTAAGCAGGCAAAGACAAACAAGACCCTAGGCAAGGCAGCTGCTCTGGGCCCACAAAACTTCATACATACCACATTTGTTTCAGATTCCAGTGCCACGTAAAGCCCACCAGTTAACTCACAAATGCCCATTTCAAGGGATAGGTAGAATTAAGCCCTACCCCCAGCAGTTTTCTTCTAGGGACACCACCCTCCAACACAAGAGAAGTGGGAGCAGATTCTTCCTTAGGCACAGCAGAATGTATACAGAAGACAGAACTGCAGGGAAACACATTCATCTTAACGGAGGATGCCAGTTTGTGTCCTCCCGTTACCCTTAGGAGAACTATGGGGAAAAGCCCTAACCCCATAGTTCTCCTTTAAGGTAATGTATACGTTCCCACTTCCCCCAGTACAGACTGCAGGGATGGCCACAGCTATAGGATCTGCACTGGTGGTAGAGTCAGCCTTTAAGCAGAAGCCAACAAAGGAAATACCAAAGTTGCTTTGTACACATACCTGGGTCTGCTTTTCTTTTTTCACCCTTCCCTTTCGGTTCTGCTGGTTCTGGTGGGGGTTTAGCTTCTTCTTTTGCTTTCTTTTTATCATTCACTTTCTTGGGAGCTGGAGCAGCTTTTGAAGGTTCGGAAGAGGTAGAACCATCTTTATTATCTGTAAACCCATAGTTTGCCTGATACATAGCCAAGAAGTCTTCAGTTATCTATCAAAACAATAAAACACAAGAAAGGGTTATATTCTGAGGAACAAAACTGCAGAATAAAATCAAGACTGTGACAATGTTTAATTGGCTCTCCCTTAAAAACACAATGCACGTTAACAGTCTTTAGTGTGCAGCAACAATCTGAATGGACCCTTACAGCTTGAATCCTTCCTACATGGGGGGCTTACATTGAAGACAACTCCCTGTGTAGACATTTTGAAATAAACAGTAGGCCGATCGCATGAGCAGGGAGCGATATTCCTGTGGCCAGTACATGGTTTGTGCACTGATCACAGGAATATCCCTCCCTGCTCATGTGATTGGCCTACTGTTTATTTCAAAATGTCTACACAGGGCTGATCTTCAATGCCATCAGGTTTAGTGCAAGAAGTCTTTTAATCATTGGTGATATGCCATGGAAGCAATGTTTTTATTACTTCAAAGGTCAGCATGATCATGTGATTACAGCAGACAGACCCTCCCACTTAGCCCTCATTTTGAGGCATTCCATACAATTACCAAAATCCTTATAATATAAACTGCCAGGCCAAAACAAAAGTCACCACCTGGATTTAGCCAAGCAAATAGGTCTGAGCCTTCAATTGGATAATAGGTCTAAGTTCAGCAACATTATGTGTCCAAAAAAATGAGGTCAGCTGCCAACCTGAACACATCGAATGACCAAGTTTTTCCAGCAATGGATTTTTGCTTTCATGATGGCACGGCGTATTCAGGTTGTGAAAGGGTGGTTCAGGGAGCACGAGACCTCCTTTTCACATATGGATTGGCCTCCACAGAGTCCTTAACCCCATTGAGAATCTTTGGGATGTGCTGGAGAATACTTTACACAGAGTTCCGACTCTCCCATCAACACTACAAGATCTTGGTGAAAAGTGAATGAAACTCTGGACAGAAATAAATACGTAAATATTGTGGCATTGAATAAGCTTATTAAAATGATGCCACGGTGAATATGTGCCATAATCAAAGCTAAAGGTGGTCCAATGAAATATGAAAGACTTTTTTTGGCCAGGCAGTGTATTTTTGGCCTGAAGAGTACATTTGTTACATTATGTGGAGTACCACGTTAAGACTTTTGAACCCTTTGCATACTAAAATATGTTTATTTGACTTTGCCACTGACCATTAAAGGCTGGTTTCTACAATCACCCCTGTCCAAAATAAAACTTTTGTAAGCCCAGCTAAATCAGGATATAGATTAGGCCTGTGAGAATATATAACTACGATCCAGCAAATGACTCAATCACAGAGCTGTCACAATGACTGCGACAGACCTCAACAGTGATCCAGCTGACCTGTTCTGTATGACCAATCTGCAGCCAAGGAAATGTAATATGGGGGATAAGGCAAGCAGCAAGCCAGATCCAAATATTCAATTTCAGGAACTCTAGAGCAGAAAGGCATGAGCTAAACACCTTCACCATTTCGCCATTATGTGAGCAAGAACAATAATTCCAATCACAACACCCGTCCACCTTGTCAAAGGTCCAGGCAGTGTTTTTATTGTGATATCAAAAGGTACCATTTAAATTCCAACTCCCATAACTGATGCTCAAAGCCCATTCAAAGATGCTGTGTCGCACTTCTCAAAAAGTGGCATGGGTAGTAGACCCAAATGCTGACTGGCTAACATTAAGTTTTCTAAAGCCCTGTGGTTCATAAACAACTACCAAGATTTTTTATTTTGCATAAAACACTCTTCACTTTTTACATGTTTGTTGCCTCTCAGTGCTGCTGATCTCCGTCTGCATTTATACATTTTTTCCATTGGAGCCTGCAAAGCATTGCAACCTAGATTAGTGGATTGCGTGTGCGATACACAGGCTCCTGCAGACTATTCCCCCAACCTAGGTCCGTACTGGCCGGATACAGACCTTTTGGGGCTGCACAAAGTTAACAGTGGACTACAAGGGCAGGACGAGTTCTTTTGTTGCAGTGGCAGATGGGACATGTAGTCTTTTCATGAACAGATCCTGCATGCACAGGCAGTCCAAAATAAAAAAATAAAAAAATAAAAAAGATGCTGCAGGGAGAAAAAGTCTGCAATTCAGATGTGGGGGGTCAGCATCCTAAATATGGGTGTAGCATGAAACATGGTCCGAAAGGTGGAATTTACCTTTATAAGCAAACTCTGGCCCTTCAGATGTGGTGAAACTACAAATCCCATAATGCATCTGCCTTTAGGAGACATGAATGTAGATGTCAGAATCTTGCAATGCCTCGTGGGATTTGTAGTTCCACAACAGCTGGAGTGGCAGAGTTGGCCTACCCCTGCTTTAAAGCATATTTTAAGCCAAGCTTTCTGTTTCTAGCTTTCGATAGTCTAGGGAATGCATAGAATCCCTGTCAGGTTTTCTTTTTCCCATCCCTGTCCCTATGTGGAAAATAACATTCATATCTTGTCAAACAGAAATTAACAGGAAGAGGAAATCTCTCCATAAACCAAAGGGAACTCTGCTCTCAGCTGTCGCCCGATGATTTCCCCTCTGCGATTGCTTTGGTGACAAAGTTTTTTTTATTTCTCTCTTATTCAGTCCATGGTCACCAGGACCAATAGGGAGTGAATATCCCCAATGTGGCCATACACCGCGATTAAAACCTGGCAGAGGTTCTAACCCTTCCCCACTCTATCCAAAACTAAAATGAAAAAAAGCTTTGGTTACAGATGCACTTTGAAATCCTGATGCCAAGATTATTGATTGGTTGATTGAAGAGCCTATTGCAGAGGAGACTGCGTGGGTCTCTTCTGCCTGCCAGCTCCTCTCCTTATCAATGTGTTCTTCCCTCTTCTCCTAAACCAGGGGTGGACAAATGAATATGGAATTCAGGAGCCAGTCCATCCAATCCAAGAGCCAGCAGGATTGGTTTAGAAGCCAGCTCTATTAACAACAACTAGAGAAAACCTCAAAAGTTAGGTGCCAGCTGTCATTTTTAAGGAGCATTGGCTACCTGGATCCTGGGGTTTGCCCAGCCCTGTCCTAAATGTACACATGTGCAGCTCAGTGTACATTCTTAGAACACCTTGCTGTAAGGGTGTATGTTTTGGATTGAGTAGGGAAGGAATGTTTCCTGTTTGCGCACCACTGGGGAAATTTCCCTTCACTTCCTGTCCCAGGGGTGCAACCGGAAGTGGAGATCTCCTAAAGTGAGGGGAATAAGACAGTTGTCCCTGGAACAAGTATTCCCATTGTACGATTTCCCTCGCCTCTTGCACAGGAATTACGGCACCCCAGGCCGGTCAAGTAACATGGCCGTAGACATTGAACCCGGAAGGACTGGGCGCTGATGAGCACTTGCGGGCGCTGCATTGCTGGAGGGGAGGTGAGTCTAGCAGACTAGTTACATGGGATGACAGGGAGGAATGTTTTTATGACAGCAGGGACTGTGTACGTCTCCTAATGTCACAGACGCTTCTACCTGCCCTTCAGCACTTGTTTCTGCTGGTGTACACTGAACCACGTATGCTTAGCTCAGTCTAGTCTCTGAACGATTCTGTGCCAGGACAGAGTCAGGGCCCATTCATACTATGTGTGGTGTTTTTCTGCACCGGACCAATGGAAGTCACCGATAGGGCATATAGAAGACAATGGTTTTCAATGTGCCTCATTCATGGCACAATGCAGGTCTGATGTGTGAGTGCTGGGCTGAGATATAAAGCAGACATGTGGCATTTTTCTGCGGCACACTGAATGCCACCATAGGTCACCCCAGCACAATGTAATGCACTACCAAACAGACATGAATGCAGTGTACAAATTGTACACTCAAAATAAAGTTAAGAAAAAGAAGCAAAAAATAAAAGTAAACAAGGCCTTGTGTTGTAACAACCTAAGGCACCAGGGCCACTAGCCACATGATAAAACAGCTAGTCCGAACGAGCCCTAGTTATATTTTGTGTCGGCATTTACTTCAATTTTAGGGAAGGATGAGGATGACAGCCCATGAGCGTGCACCTTCAAAAAGCAGGTCAGCAATGGTGACTCTCATATATCTATTCTGACAGATTCCTCAGAAGCTACACTACACATGCTACAATCTGATTGTACCCATTTCTTTAGATCTTCCAAAAACAATGTAGCTCAATGGCCTGTCTGGATACAGATTGCTTCGATCAATTAGGTAGGTCCGCATATTACATAGATTCAGAAAATCTAAAGTCAATTGTACGACCAGGTTGTATGGTGGCCCATAAGGACTAAAAAGTGTACAGGGAGCGCACTGACATGCAATAATTGGTATCTTCTAACCCCGAGGTATCTGGACCTTTGTCACCTCTATTGTCGGCATCTTGGCTTCCTCCTCCCCCCTCTCACCTTAGGGAACCAGGCTTTCTTGTCATGGTCCCATTCATACTCAGTGTCATCACTGGGGTCTTTAAAGGTATACGGATCGTGGCCGTCCTCCTTGTCACGGTTCCCATACAGTTCCTGGAGCCGCAGCTGCTCGTAGAATGCTTCGTTCCTATCCATGTTCTTCTTATGATCCAAAGGAACACTACAAGTCACACACACCTACTTCTCACTGTTCGTATACCCCCATACTCTACAGATGGGCTCTGCGCATGCGCAGCACCCAAAACCTTTTGCGTAGTCCATAAAGTGAGACACCGGAACCGTAGTGCGCATGTGTAACACTTCCCACGTTCTGGAATGCTCACCCCTTGTGACTGATAAACGCGTCTGTAACTTATAATGTAGCTCAGCGGAGCGGCCATTTTGTTGTAGACTTTTTTATTGTGTACAGCGAAACTCTGGCCAAAATTAATTTTTGTCCATTTGCACTTTAAAAATAGATGAACACTAATGAAGTGTGTGCTACGTGTTGCTGCTGTGTTGTGTAATAATCTTGCTTTCATTCCCTGATACAGTCCAGTCAGCACTGAATATCTGGCACTGAAACATACAGTCCAGTCAGCACTGAATATCTGGCACTGAAACATACAGTCCAGTCAGCACCAAATATACAGCACTGAAACTTACAGTCCAGTCAGCACCAAATATACAGCACTGAAACTTACAGTCCAGTCAGCACCAAATATACAGCACTGAAACTTGCAGTCCAGTCAGTACTCAATATTTGGCACTGACACAGTCCAGTCAGCACAGAATATTTGCCACTGAAACTTACAGTCCAGTCAGCACCGAATATCTGGCACTGAACCTCACAGTTGAGGCTGGAGCACACAGATTGCAGTGGATCATGTGCTTTGCAGTTTGTCCATTTCCAACACTTGTCCATTCCAATGTATGCAAGGTGTTCTGTGACTGGACAATGGATGATTGTGACATTCATCTGCACCTTCACCAATCACAAAATGCCTCTTAACTGAACAAACTGAAGAGAGAAGCTGATTGGTTGCCATGCACATCTCCATATTTTGTCTGCTCCAGTTTTGATATATTCTGCTTGTGTTTACTGTAAAACAATGCAAGATGTTTTCGTAACGGACGAGCAAACGAGCCACTCTGATCTGTGTACTCCAGGCGGCCTGGTGCTCGGTTATTACATAATGCAGAAACAGCTACACATTGAACGCACTTCATCAGTTTGGCCATTTGCACTGTAAATTTTGGTCTTTTGCCGGAGTTGAGCTTAAAGTGCAAGTGAAGTAGACAGAGCGGTCTGGGAAACGGTACGGTTAGTGAGAGGAAACCACTGCAAATCATTATTTGCTGTATAAAGGATGAAGGCTGCATTGTGTGTTTTATATTGTATACGCTATCTATAGTTTTTTTTTAAATTCACCATTCACAAAATTATTCATAGAACCAATCAACAACTTATCCTCAGGGTGAACAACCTGGTCACTCGTTACAGTTTTATATTAATACATAGCTATGATGTCGTAGTCCACCTCACTGTCTTGTGATGGTCACCTGCAAAGTCACCGATATCACCTCCTTAGTTTCTGAGCCGCAAGAGACAGGTCTGAGCACAAACATTTGTAGGTCTTTGAGGAATTAAAGCTGAACTCTGGCCTGGTGACAAAGTTGCCCTTTCAGTGGGTCACCCTTGTCCCTACAAGGATTAAAGTGATATTAAACCCTCGTTTTTCTCGTCAGAGGAGATCTGCTTGTACTTGTGTAACTTATTTTTTCTTCCCATTTCATTAATTTTTTTTAACTTGATGTACCACAGTCCCTCCCCTCCCGTTTTACGGGTGTCTCCTTTGCCTTGCAGGTCGCAAAGGAGACACCGTGCGTGCACGCTCCCAGACAGGAATTGAGCTGTGCTGTGTGCGTCCATTGACACACATAGCACTCAACAAGCCACGCCCCTGTTTCCACCTCCTCACAGTATCTTGACAGCCAGGTGCAGCGGAACATCGCTGCCCTGCCCTCAGTGGCCTTGGGATCCCTCCTCTTAACCTGGAACTTCGTGGACACATTGCAGATTGTCTGGGAGCTAGCAGCGGTGAACATGGAGTATAGGTAAGTGTTTGGAGGTGGTGACTAGTCACTCGATGTCCCGTGGCCCCTCCCTTCCTGTTTATGGGTGTCTCCTTTGCCTAGCAGGTCACAAAGGAGACACCCCTGCGTGCACGCTCCCAGCCAGGAATTGATCTGTGCTGTGTGCGTCCATTGACACACACAGCACCGAACAAACCACGTCCCTGTTCGCACAAGACCACTGGTCCTGCAATGTACATGATAATGTCAGAGAGCTGCGACTGGTAGGGCAGCGAAGTGAGGCAGCTAAATGGAGGAATCCTGCATGTATGAGGAATAAGGTGCTTCACCTTATTCCAATTCCTCTAGACCACCCATTCTCAACCAGGGTTCCATGGAAGTATGGGGTTTCTTCAAATGTGTCTGATTGACCAATTTTATAGAGCTTAAATGGACTTAAAGAGGAACCGAACTCTTGAAGCTATGGCAGGGGGCAAATGACCAGGCATCAGTATTGCCTGTGGTCTCCCTGCAGTTGATCTTTCCCCATTACTGTATACATGCCTGTGTTGCATACTCCACGTGGAGGGGGCCATTTTGGTAGAGGCAGGGTTTTGCGTCCTCATATCAGAGCCGCCAGCAAGAACAACAGTAAGGATCAAAGTAGTGGCATTACCAAATCTCACTCCAGTCCTATAGGACTGTCAATCAGAGGCTGTAGTGCTTTGGATCTCACACTTCAGATATACAGCTCTGAGTCTGTAGGCACAGAAGTGGGTAGGCACCCACCCTTCATACAAAAGGTAGATTTTTCAGGGTACTGCTTACGCACAAATAACATTAACTAAATATTCCCTATAACATAGCAAATCATTACCACTTTAACTATGTGGTTTAAAGCAACACTGCTTTCTCCTTTGTGTGCTACCTAAACTAAAACGTATATTGCAAAAGGTACCTTATGGGTTGTAGAAGTTGACAAGATGTCAACCTGAGAGAACAGTTTGTAGGTTGGCAAAGAAATTGCTGTGTGAATAATTCTGGGTAAAGAATCCCTGCCACCACCTCATGCTCATCAAGTTAAGCAAGGAGCAGGTAAATGTACTCACCTGAGGTAAGTCAATGTGCTAATATTTTATTCATTTCATTCTCCTGATGTGCAGAAAGCAGGACTTACATTTTTATTCATCACATCCGGGAGTGTCAGTGGCTGTGTGTGCAATGCATTCCCATCTCCTCCCTGGCCCTGACGTCAACCAAGGTCCTGGCAGCAGCCGGAGAAGCCTTGTGCAATAGTCAATAAATGATTTTGCAGATCATGCAAAGCTACCCTTTTCCCGGGGTAGGGAAGTTAAGAGAAAGGGAATTATTGATTTATCAGTATGTGAGTACATTTACCTGCTATGTTTAACTTAATGTGCTTAGAGTGGTTACAGGGTCTTCTGAACTGATACATGCTTTCTGGCCTACCCTCTATGGACAGAGCTATTGGCCGCTGGTCTTGGTTGGAGTCAGCGGGAGTGGGGATCAGGTAAGTGGAGGTGCTTTACAGACTACCCTAGACAAAAACAAGCAGTTAACCCTTGCAGTGAGGCTAACCTTACTGCAAGGGTTACCTATTTCTTTTTTTTAAACTGGAGTTAAGCTTTAAAGCCTGTGTAAATAATGGTTTGCCCAATGCTCTTATGATGTGGAACATCTTGTTTCTTGCTATGTGACTCACTATTAGTGATGGGCCGAACAGGCCCGTGTTCGGTTCGTATTCGAACATTCAAACGTCCGAAAAGTTTGAATTCGAACTCGAACTCAATGCAAGTCAATGGGGGTAGAACTTTCAAAAACGATTGTCCCCTTTAAGAGGGCTTATATGCAAGTTATTGGCCATAAAAGGTGGGGTTTTGGGTACTGCCCTAGGGGACAGGAATCAATGAAAAAAAAAAAAAAAACTTTTTAAAGGAGCAGTGATTTTAACATCACTTAAAAAATTCCTTCAAATATCAAAAACTGCCTTTAAAGTGGCACATCTGTACGATAACCCGCAGATGCAGCAGTGCCGTCCGTCCGTTTTTCTACTACGGGCGGACGGCAAGAGGTTAATTAAGGGGGCACCTAGATGCGCCCCACTTATGAATGAGTAAGGGGTACTTGTACCCCTACCCATTCACTAAAGGGTTAAATAAAATAGTTATTAAAAAGTCCAGTCTTTTGATCAAATCCTTTATTTGGAAAAAAACATGTTTTTGACAAGTCGTTTATTTTTTAAAAACAAAAAATGGATCCACCGGCGTAATCCATCGTCAATCACAGCGTCCAGCGTTGTCCACGACGACAACGAGACTAAATATAAAATAAAGCAATAAAGAATAAATAGAAATAATTTATTTTTAAAACGACTACCGCCGTCCTGTCCTCTCCCCACGGACTCCCGCCACATAATGTAATTTTGACAGATTCCGGCAAAACATGAACAATTGTGTAATTTGACGTCATCTGACAGGTGAGCCATGATTGGGCAAAGTCATCATGACTTTGCCCAATCATGGCTCTAACAGAGTACTAAGCCCTGATTGGGAAAAGTCTTGCACCTGACCTGGTGAAAATATAACTAACCACTACTAGCTATACCATGACCTGGATAAATGAGAACCGTCACAGTCCAGATGAATATAACTAACCAGGACTAGCTATACCTTGACCTGGTTAAATACACCCACCTGACCACTTGCCCCCTGGACCCTGTTCCTTCACTGCTACTTTGGTCACCCTCATACTCTATCCTACACTCTCTTACTCACATTTTCAATATCTCACTCTGTACTGGAATCTTTCCCTCCCCTCTGAAGCATGCCCTGGTCACCCCAATACCCAAAAAACTCTCAATGGACCCTACCGACCTCAATAATCTCAGACCTATCTCCTTACTCCCATTCACCTCCAAACTCCTAGAACGCCTCATCTACAGCTGCCTAAGTCGCCACCTAGCTGATCACAACCTTCTTGACCCCTTACAATCTGGCTTTCGCCCCCAACACTCCACTGAAACCACCCTCCTAAAACTCACTAATGACCTACTCACTGCTAAAAACAAAGGCCACTATTCCCTACTTTTGCTATTAGACCTTTCTGCTGCTTTTGACACTGTTGACATCCTGCTCCTCCTCAAAAAACTCCAGTCACTTCGACTACAAGACTCTGCTCTCTCATGGTTCTCTTCTTACCTATTCAGCATCACCTACAATTCTAAATCCTCCCCTCCTCTTGCTCTTTCTGTAGGGGTCCCCCAAGGCTTTTCTCTAGAGTCTCTCCCATCCTCTGGAATTCTTTACCCCAACCTGTCCGCCTGTCGCCCACCTTGACTGCCTTTAGGCGATCCCTAAAGACTCATCTCTTCAGGGAAACCTATCCCACCTCAACCTAACCGCTCGACTATCACGTTCTCAAACAATTCATCCCCACGCAGCTCCCTCCTCATGTATCACTTCCCCCTCCCTTTTAGATTGTAAGCCCTCAGGGGCAGGGCCCTCCTTACCATCTTGTCTTGAATTGTATTGTGATTGTAATGTCTGCCCTATATTGTAAAGCGCTGCGCAAACTGTTGGCGCTATATAAATCCTCTATAATAATAATAAGAACCTTCACAGTCCAGCTGAATATAAGTTTTGGCTTTCAATACACTTAATTTGATGTCAGGTCCCAAAACAGTGGTGATGTAACCACTTGACAACCCTAACAAGTTACACTGACACTTGGGGACCACAATATATAAACATGTTTACATTTACAGAAGCTGCCTCTTCCTAAAAACTAGGGTTGCACAGATACCAAGTACAGTACTCGGTACAAGTACGAGTACATGTACCGATACTTTTGAGCTCCAAGACTAGACTAGAGAAAAATTCAAAAATTAGGAGGCAGCTTTCATTTGTAAGGAGCACACGGAGCTCCTGGGATTTGTACATCTCTGTTTTAATGTAGGATTTAGTTTTTATAAATATAAATAAAGGGATGCGCAGATACCAGTTTTGCGAGTACTTACAAGTACTTACCGAGTACTTACAAGTACGAGTACTGATACATTTTTGTTTAGTGTCATGTGACAGTTTTTCTAAAACAATACAGACTAATGATTTCAGGACAGTGGTGGAGTGCCAGAGCCAGGTCCCAGCTGCAACCGCTGCAACCCTGGTAGTTCTCATGAAAATGCCAAGTATCTGCACTGGTACTCGAAAAGTATCTGTGCATCCCTACTAAAAACCATGATAGTCTCATCTATTGCTAGGTATAACTTTTTTTGTAAACTGTAAAGTTATAGTCTACATGTCCTTTTATGCCTTTTTGAGTTGATAAACAACCTTATAACAATAAATGTGTCTTCTGCCTAAAATAGTAGTTACATTTGTGGTCTGTGTCCATCACAGTTGCATTGCTTATGTTTACAAGCTTTATTTTTCTTGTTAACATAGAGAGCGTATACCACAAGATGAGTTATCTACATTTCAGCTTTGCTTTGTTTGTTGTCTCTGTAGAACTTCGATAACTAAGTAATTTGTAGAGACTGTACAGAAAAATTGATTTTTCTTTACTAAATGAAAAAAGAAATAAAAGCAAAAGTTGCTTTCCTTTGATATTTTTGTATTTGTTTCCATTTTGTTTTAATACTGAAAAATATTTAAACAAAAAAGGAGCCAGGAGTGAGATTTAAATATTTAATGCACATTAGCTTTTATTTTTCATGATCCCAATATACTGATGATTAACCACAAAAATCCCATAGGCTGTTATTTGGATTATTAAAAACCAGACACAAGTGGCTGAATATAAGACAAGATCTGCAAATATATAATAAATGTGTCCTTTTTTGCACAAATGTCTTTTTTATTAGGATATTTGACAGTAGTTGAGCTTAAAGGTACATTACCAACCACATTTTATATTTACATGACACTGTTCTTACTGTAGAAATATGTGTTTTGTTACAAACCTGTGTTTTCATTTCATTTGTCATATAGATATTAGCACACAAACTGGTAGTAGATGCTTACTGTATGGGTTTCACTTATAGGAAATTCCTATGCTTGTCAGCGCCATCTAGGGGCACTAGTGCCGCGTGAACGGCATCTGCACGACTATACGCCAGGCATAACTTTTATAAATGAACTCATAAGTGTCCAGTCATACTTTTTTTCTTACCCACTTTCTGGAAAGAATCTCAGTGAAGGGCTAAAGTAAAACAATTAGAAAAGGATATCATGCTGATGACTAATGGAACAAAACACAAATGCACACCGATCACTTCTTGTTGGGGCTTTTGTGTATAAAGTGTTAAGTTAACTGTACAAAAAGAGTGGTCAGACCCCTAAGCAATATTCTATACTTGACACGCACATTTACTATTCCATGCATGTTGGGCAATCTATCGATTATTGCCTTTAAGAAAGTAAAAGGAAAGGGGGGAGGGGGTGGCACTGGGTTATTGTTATTAATATCAATAGAGAGGAATATAAAACGGAATCAAAATCGCCAGACTGTGCAGGTGGTGGTGATGCCAACACTGAGCTGCCATTGCAGTTATTCATGCACCATATATTGCATAATTATATCTGTGTGTGTCACCCTGTAGTAGGCATATAAGCTTTATCAACTGCCCCCTTTCATTATGTAACTGGGGGGTCAAAGACTGGGTCTATCTGCTATGCTTCTGCTGTATAGAAATATTGTATTGTAAAACAAGACTTTTTTATATATATTGTTTTTTTTCTTGTTTGTGGGCATGTGAGTGTGAGGACTCTGTAGAAGTGGAATTAAAACTGTAATAGAAAACAACTGGCTTGATTAAGGGTAAGTGCACTCTTAG